GCCGGGTTGGCACCCCCACCTTTGGGTGCAAAGCCCCCTCCCCGCACCCCGGCCTCCGCAGCCCCCTCACCTCGGTGGGCGAGATGCCGAAGACCTCGGCGATTTTGGCGTAGAGCTCCTTGACGTTGGTGAAGCCCTCGATGCGCCCCGTGGGGCTGCCATGGGCCAGCTGCGTGTGAAACACCAGCCTGGGGCGGGCACGGGGGGGTCGGGGCGCTGGGATCCCCTCAGCAGCAGGCGGCTCGGGGGTCCCCGGCTCCTGCCCCATGCCATTCTCCATGGGGCTGCCCTCCTGGGCCTGCCGGCCGTGCCTGCCCGCCCGCCGCATCCCACTGCCGGCGCTGCTGAATTATAGATGGGCGCTGGCTCCCGGCTGGGCCGTAAGGTGATCCCGGGGCCTGGGAACCCGATCCGGCAGCGCAGGTAACCCACCGGGATCGGGTGAGCTCTGCCACGTAGGAAGGGCCCCAGCCAGGCTGGAGAGCAGCCGGCACAGCCCGCTCCATCACACCCTCCCCAGTTGGGGTTGGGGGGCTGCAGCGATGAGCTCAGGGCCGTCACCCTTGCTCTACACCCCAAGGTGCCCAGGATTGGGGCTGGGACCAGCTCCAAAGCCACTTCTGAGCACGAACAGACGGAGCCCAAGCTGGTTGGATTCTCCCACGTTTATTTGCGCCCATCTCCATCCCAAGCCAAGCGGCCACCAGGACGTGACAACCCGGAGATGGCAACCAGGAGACTCATCTACAGAGCACGGACCTCGCAGGCGAGAGACAGTCACACACCAGCCCCAGGTCAAACCCAGGGCCAGATCAACGTAGTGCTAGTAAGAAAAATAAGACACTCTCTAATTACAGTCTTAGATTAGTGACAGGCAGCCCTGGGGACGGGCGGCCCCAGCACAGCGCGGCCAGGACCCGGCTGCCGTCATGGTGGTCCCAACGATGGGCTCAGGCGGAGAGGCAGGAGCCAAAAGCCCACGCATCACCCCACGGGCTTCCCCTTGTGGGGAGGGAGGGGTCGGTCCTGGCTCCCTCGCCAGCCTGATATTTTTGCCTTCACCCCTGCAGAGGGCAGGAGCTGCCCTGCCTGGTCCCAGAGGCGTGGGGGGAAGGCGAGGCGACGGGCAGGGGGACACAGGCAGGGGGCTGAAGGCACCCATGGTGGAGCAGCACGGGGGAAGGGGGAGGATTAAATAAAGTAAGAGGTGGGCAGAAGGGAGCCTGCCACCTCACCCGGACCGAGAGGCTCCCTGGGCTGAGCTGGGGGCTGGGAGGCAGCGGCCAAGCCCCAGGGGACCCCAGGTGCCTCCCTGCCATCGCAGGGCAGTTAACAGCAGCCCCTGGAAGAGGTCGAGTCGCTCCAGGCCAGTAACCGACAGCACCTCATCCACGAGCGGACAGTCTTCGGGGAATCTCCGGTTTAGCGAGGCGGAGCCGCAGGAGCTGGGGAGCTCACAGGGGAGCAGGGGGGACGCTCCCGCCCCCCCGCTGACCCCCTCCCCCACAGCTGGGGTCTCTCAGCCCTGGCACCGCTTGGTCCCCAGAAGCTTGAGGTCCTTGGAGATGGCACAGCCACGGGGCCCAGCCGCACCGGGGCCGGGAGAGATCCCAGCTCATTTCTCCAGGGAGGGGTGTGGGGTGGAGGGGGCAGCAGGCGGACCACCAGCAGAGACTGTCCCTTGCGTGAGCTCCAAGGGACAGGGCCGTGGTCCGGCCAGCCCTGGGCTCCGGGAAGGGCTGGTCCTCTTCACAAGTGTTCGCTGAAGAGGGAGAGAAAGCAAAGCTGAATGACAGGGCCTTGGCTTCTCTCTCCCCCAACTGCCTGGAGCAGCTCTGGGCCCCCGAGCACCAGCTCCCGCCAGCCCTGCCCGGCTCACCTGGCTATCCGGGACAGGATCTCCTTGATGCGCACCACCAGCTTCTCGTGCTGCAGCGGGTTGCTCTCGATGGCGCTGTGCAGTTTGGCCATGTAGAAGTCCAGAGTGCTCAGCGTGGGGGTTTCCCCGGTGCCTACGAGGTGACAGCCCAGTTAGCAGGGCCAGCAAGTCCCCATCCAGCCCTGCCCATGGTGCTGGTGGTTGGGGAAGGGACCCTCAACACTAGGTGCCACCTCCTGCAGCAGGAGAGAGCCCACACCAACACAAGCGCAGGAACAAAAGGATTTGGGCTGATCTCTGCTGTGACTATGGCGCGAGAGGACAGTTCCCAGCTTGCCCTACCCCGTTACAGGGGAGCCAACTGGCTGTCACATCCCTGGGCTCCCCGGAGAGCCCCAAAGTGGTTCAGGATCCTGCCCCATCAGCAGACGAGCATTTGTCACCACCCCATTGCCCCCACTTGAGAGCCCCAACGGTGCCCATCCGCGTGGCCACCAGGTCCCAGCAGCAGGCTGGTCCCCACGGCTGCCCCGAACT